CTCCCCCTCCTCTTCCTCCTCATCTCTGGACTCAGAGGCACTCAAGATATGATCCACGGCCATCGGCAACCCTGGCCAATGTCCAAACCCAACTCTGACTGCACAACGGAGCCAAGCCGCTTGCCTTCACACCTCGTTGCTGCCGCACCTCAGGGAACCCCAGCTGGGGCCTGTCCTTCAGGCACACCCTGCGGGAGGCAAGGCCCCGCCCCACCCAAGCCCCTCAGTCCTCTGTGCAGCTCCCCCTCTCAGCCACACGTGGAACGTCCAGCACAAACACACCTGGGAGAAGAGGAGTCGCTCAAAGGGAGGGGCAGGGATGGAGGCAAACCCTCCAACTCACCCTTGGCCATGACTCAAGTCCCCACTCTGAAGGCCCCTCACACATCAGGGGATTGTAGATAACACTGACTTTATGTTTAACCAATAACTACCTTTTTTTTTTATAACTACTTAATTTTTTTACTAATAGCACTTATCTATGTCTAGGTCTCACAAACATATAAGATTTTTGGCATAACAAGGTTGCTATTTAGATTAACAATTTTAATCCAGGTGTTTTAGTTGAATAAACAAATTCCTGTAACCTTCTATTTCCTATCATTGTCGTAACTGCTCTAGGGATATTGACTATATATTCACCACACTGGTGCATGAAATGTACTGTATTTTTTTTTTATATACCTGAATAAAGATCTTGAAATTTCCATTTCTAGAGCTGAAAGAGTGAGCTTATTTAATGTATTTTTATTAATTTCAGAAAGGAAGACAAAAGGAGAAAGAAATAGAAATATCAATGACAAGAGGGAAACATTGATGGGCTTCCCTCCTGCACACCCCCCATTGGGGATCGAACCCTCAACCTGAGCATGTGCCCTGAACGGGAATCAAACCGTTCATTGGTCAATGCTCAACCACTGAGCCACACCAGTCGGGCAAAAATTATTCTTGAATTGTCTATTTTCCCTTCAATTCTATCCATTTTTGCTTTGAGTATTTTTGGTGTCTGTTGTTAGGGGAATATAAGTTTAAATGATTTAATCTTCTTGACAGATTGACCCTTTTAGCATTGTAAAATGTACCTCTTACATCTAGGAACAATTTTTATTTTAAAATCTATTTTGTCTGGCAGTCACTCCAGCTCTCTTTTGATTACTGTTTATATGGCACTAGTGACCCAGTGCATGAAATTCATGCACATTAAAAGGGAATTAATTAGAGGACATATTTTAATATTGCTATTTGCCCTTTCTCTATAATAGAAGTGTCAGAAAGAAAATTAGTAAAATGTGTATGAAAATCTTCCTCCTGTCAGAGTCTGGGGCATGCCGCGGGAACCAGAGTCAATTCCCTGCCATCCACACGCACCTCGAAATCCTGCAAGACCCAGACCTGACCAGCCCCAACCCCACTGGGCTAGATCCAGACCTGGCCAGCCCCACCCCCATCAAGCCCCACGGGTGGGGGGGGCACAGCCTCAGGTCACCTGGCCCAGCACCGGGCAGGGGGCACAACCTGAGTTTCCCCCATCAAAGCCCCGCTCTGTGGGGGGCATGTCCTGCGGTCCCATCAAGCCCCACCAGGTGGGGGGGTAGGGGGGGAGGGGGTGCAGCTCAGGTCTTTTGCCCCAGCCCAGTGCCACACAGCTTCAGGACCCCACTGATTGCTCATTAAGACTCATTACAGCCCTAACCTATTTGGCTCAGTGGCTATAGCGTCGGCCTGCGGCCTGAAGGGTCCCAGGTTCGATTCCGGTCAAGGGCATGTACCTTGGTTGCGGGCACATTCCCAGTGGGGAGTGTGCAGGAGGCAGCCTGTCGATGTTTCTCTCTCATCAATGTTTCTAACTCTCTATCCCTCTCCCTTCCTCCCTGTAGAAAATCAATAATATATATATATATATTTTAGAAAGACTCATTACAGGAACCTGGCCTCCGCTGTGGCACAACCATCTTGTGTTACGGAATCCCTGCTTCCGCTATGGGCGCAGCCATCTTGGCTGTTATGGCATGACAGTCAATTTGCATATTTTCTCTTTATTAGATAAGATACCTTCTACATTCTTTTACTTTCAATCAACTTGTGTCTTTTAATATAGAGCGTGTCTTCTGTGAACAAAATATAGTTGGATCATGGCAGTTTACCCATTGCGCCAATCTGTTTTTTTATTAGCATGTTTAATCCTTGTCTATCTAACGTAATTACCAATAAGATAGGATTTCTGTCTGCCATTTTTATATTTGTTTTCTGTCTTACGTTTTTTGTCGCTCTATTACCCCAATATTGCCTTCTTCTACGTTAAATAGATATCGCCTAGTGTAGCATTTTCATTATCTTGTCAAATCTTTTATTCTAGCTTTTGAGTTATGTGTTTAGTGGTTCCCTTGAAGAACATATTTAAAATCTCAATTGATAATAATAGAGTTAGAATTTGTACCAGCCTAATACAAAATTTGGCTCCTATATAGCTCCACTACCACCCTCTCCTTTGTAGTACCATTGTCATACATATTACTTTTTATACATTGTATGCCCATCAACATAGATTTACAATGATTGCCTTATGCAGTTGTCTTTTAAACCATACAGGAGGGAAGAGTTACAAACAAGAAAATGTCTATTTGAACTGTCTTTTATCTCTACCTCTACAATTATCTTTATTGTTGGTCTTTACTTCTATTGTGGATTGAAGCTATTGTCTAGTCTAGTGTCTTTTCATTTCAGCCTGAAGGACTCACTTTCGTATTTTTGTAGGAATATCTGCTAGTGAGAAATTCTTACCATTTTGCTTATCTGCAAATGTCTGTGTTTCTCCTTTATTTTTGAAAGATAGTTTTTCCAGATATAAACTTCTTGGTTTATAGGCTTTTTCTTCCAGCACTTTGAAGGTCAGCCCACTGTCTTCTGAGGATAAATGGCTGTTAATCTTATTGAGGAAACGTTGTATGTGATAAATGGTTTATCTCTTGCTCTTTCCAATATTCCCCGTCTTTGATTTTCAATAGTTTCAATATGATGTGTCTAGGATAAGTTCTAAGGTGAGTTCTTATTTTACTTAGAGTTCATTGAACTTCTTGGATGTGTAGATTAATATTTTTATCAAACTTGGGATGTTTGGGGGCATTATTTCTTCAAAGGCTTCCTCTCTCTCTCTCTCTCTCTCTCTCTTTCTCTCTCTCCCTCTCTCTCTCTTCAATGGGACTCAAATTATACTTATATTAGAATGTTTGCTGATGTCCAACGGGTATCTAAGGAACTGTATTTTCTTCATTTTTTCTCTTTCTATTCCACAGACTAGATCATCTCAATTGACCTATCCTTAAGTTTGCTGATCCTTTTTTGAGCCAACTCACATCTGCTCTTAAGCTCTTCTAGTGAATTTTTTATTTCACTTATTGTACTTTCAATTCCAGAATTCCTATTTGAATCTTTTAATTTTTTTTTTAATTTTTTAATCCTCACCCAAGGACATTTTTCCACTGATTTTTAGAGAGAGTGGAAGAGAGAGAAAGAAAGACAAATATCAATTGGCTGCCTCCTGCATGAGCCCTGACCAGGGCCCGGGCCGGGAAGGAGCCTGCAACCGTGGTACATGCCCTCTACCAGAATCGAACGCAGGACCCTTTGGTCTGCAGGCCGACACTCTAGCCACTGAGCCAAACCGATTAGGGCTGTTTCTTTTTAAATAATTTCTACCTCTTTGTTGATATTCTCTATCAAGAAAGATGGTGAGACATCAGGGTCATGCTTTTCTTTAATTCTTTAGACATGGTTTTCTTTAGTTCTTTAAGCATATACTAAATAACTAGTTTAAAGTCTTTGTCTACTAAGTCCAACGTCTGGGTTTCTTTAGGGATAGTTCCTACTAATTGCTTTTCCTTTTCCTGTAAATGGACCATACTTTCTTGTTTCTTTGCATGTTTCATAGTTTTTATAGCTACCTGCATATCTATAATAATAAAAGCATAATATGCTAATCAGACCAGACAACCTTCTGGACGAAGCCGGAGCTGTGAGGGAAGCCCAGGTCCCAAGTGTCTGCCGGTGGCCAGAGGGAAGCCGGTGCCGGCAGCCGGGGGAAGGAAGGCCTACTCTTGCATCGGGCCTCTAGTTTTAAATAATGTGACAACTGTGAAACCAGATCCTTGTGCCCTAGGGGTTATTGTTGTTACTGGGTTTTGTTCCTGCTGCACTTTGTTTAGTGGCTGTCCTAAACTAATACTATAAAGTTTGTACTTTTTGTTGTGTGTGACCACTGAAGTCTCTGCTTGGTAGTGGTCAGCTAATAATTGGCAGAGGTTCCCTTAGACCAGCCGTGGGCAAACTACGGCCCGCGGGCCGAATCCGGCCTGTTTGAAATGAATAAAACTAAAAAAAAAAAAAAAAAGACCGTACCCTTTTATGTAATGATGTTTACTTTGAATTTATATTAGTTCACACAAACACTCCATCCATGCTTTGGTTCCGGCCCTCCGGTCCAGTTTAGGAACCCATTGTGGCCCTCGAGTCAAAAAGGTTGCCCACCCCTGCCTTAGACGCCTGGAGCCAGTAAGTCTCTCAGTGTTTGCCGAGGGCTTGTGTGTGCATGTGGGGGAAGTCCTTCAATGCGCAGGCAGGCAGTTTACAACTCTGCCCTAGCCTTCACTTTCTGATTGCACAGAGCCTCCAGGTCAGCCAGGACTGAAAGCCTGGAGCTTTTCCAGGTCTTTCCTGGGCATGTGCACAGCTTTATACACGTGAGTGGCCTTTTAGATTCCCAGGAATAGGCCAAAGTTTTTCAAGGCCCACTGTGGACAGCTCCTTCACCAGATATTCCTTTCAAGATTTTTCCTCCGTGTCTTCTTTGCCCCAGATGTTATCCCTGCCTTAAGCAACTTCCA